TGTTCTAGGATGTTGGTACACAGCCTTTACCTTATGTGAAAGTTTGTTAAACCTTTGAAAGTTTCTTCACACTCACAAATCGGTTCTTTAGGGAACCAACTCAAGAAAACATTGCTTGGTATTTTTGGAAGAACCACCTTTGAGTTCCTAAAGAGGTCGTAAGATGTTGCTGTAGAGCCTTTACACTGTGTGAAAGTTTTTTAAACCTTGGAAATGTTCTTCACACTCACCATGCAGTTCTTTACAGAACCAACTCAACAAAAATTTCATTTTGTGAGGAACTACTTTTGGAAGAATCACTTTTGGGTTCCTAAAGAGGTTCTGTGAAAGTGTAAGGACATTAGTACAGAGTCTTTACATTATATAAAAGCTTTTTAAACCTTGGAAAGGTTCTTTACACTCACAAATCAAAGAACCTATATGGTTTTGTTAGGAACACACTCAAAGAGCCCCTTTTTAAGAGCGCACAGCAGTTTTTATATTGAAAAGCACTTGCAAGTGTCAAAATCTGTTATATATTATTTAATTATTGTCAAAACTCCTTTTCAGAGGTTTTTCGTCCAACGGTTCTCTTTCTATTTTCTTCCACACTCTCAAAAAAAGATGGCTTTTCAAGGGTTCTTTAGCAAAGTCAAATGGTTCTATAGAACCATTTGCATATCTGGATCTGTATAGCAACATTTTTGGAAAGGGTTCCATATATCACCAAACAGGTTCTTCTATTGTTACAAGCTTGACATCGTAATAGTTGAACTCTTTTTGGTGCTATATAGAACCATCTGCAGCACATTCTCCATCAATCTGAAGAACCCTTTCACCATGCAAAGAACCATTTACTCGTGCTTTTAATCAAGTTCTATATAGAACGCGTTCTAAGCTGTCTGTAAGTGTATTTTGTAAAAGTTTTTAACACCCTGCTACTGGTGTGTGTTACCGCCTGCAACCATCTACCAACATTAACAATCTTACTGACTTCAGACCAAATGGTTTTACAAAGAGACTGATTGTGTTCGGCCCCCACTGCATCCCCTCCAGTCGAGCCCCCGTTTGTCGTTTTGTTTACAGCTCTTCAGCTCATCTACTGCTTCGTTTAGCGTACATGCTAACTTAAAGGGTCAAACAGTGCAGTGTGTAATGTCCATTTAATTTCACACCAGCCCACTGTTGTGTTCTTCTCCTCCAGAAGCCCACTGTGGAGGTGTGGGAAATATCAGTCACCGCACTACCGCTTCCAAAATTCATTACAGCACATGGAGCTCAGCTAAGAGTGAGTAACTGACTGTGGGTTCCAGTCTCAGAGCTGCACAGCGTCCACATGATTCAGACCTGCATCATGCAGAGCAGGATCAGCGGTTATATTTAACACTTAAGAGGTGATATTCAAAGACGTTTACCCAGTTTCCCAAACGTAGTCGACCAGCCAAGACCTGTTGGGTGTGCGAGCTTTGCTTCACTGGAGCTACGAGGCTAATAAGCTAACAAGCAGTGGAACCTCAAACCAACCAACAGACCCTTCGCACATTTCCGTATCCATTCTGCCGGAAGTTCTCGTCACAGGGTTCCGCTGCTTCAGGGGCAATAACAGCGATGGCTCATCCACCTGTTTGGTTGTTATTTTCTCCTCCCAGTACAACCAAAATACCTCCCAGTACAACCAAAACACCTCACAGTACAACCAAAACACCTCACAGTACAACCAAAACACCTCACAATACAACCAAAACTCCTCCCAGTACAACCAAAACACCTCCCAGTACAACTAAAACTCCTCCCAGTACGACCAAAACACCTCCCAGTACACTTCAAACACTTCCCAGTACAACACAAACTCTTCCCAGTACAGTAAAAGCCCCCCTCAGTACAACCTAAACTTCTCCAAGTACAACCGAAACCCCTCCCAGTACAACGGAAACTCCTCCCAATACAACCAAAACTCCTCCCAGTACAACCCAAACTCCTCCCAGTACACCCCAAACTCCTCCCAGTACAGCCAAAACCCCTTCCAGTACAACCGAAACTCCTCCCAGTATAACCAATTCTCCTCCCGATACTGTAAGAAGCTCTCTCAGTACAAACAAAACTCCTCCCAGTATAACCAAGACTCCTCCCGGTACAGTAAGAAGCCCTCCCAGTACAACCGAAACTCCTCCCAGTATAACCGAAACTCCTCCTGGTACAACTGAAACACTTCCCAGTACAGCACAAACTCCTCCCAGTACAGTAAGAAGCCCTCCCAGTACAAACGAAACTCCTCCCCATGCAGTGCGTCACTGGGCTCGTGATCCATGGCTGCAAGGAAGATAATCATGGAGGACGAACATAGCCGGGGGCCGAAAGGCTTAACAGCAATAAACTAAAATCTTATCAGGATTCATCCAGATACCGGACGCAGGAAGTGACCAGGTGTGAATGGGGTCAGAGATAAAGTGACACACCTTTCTGAGCTGAACTGATGAGGCCATGGCGGAACTTCACCCAGTGTTTACGCACTTCTGCTTCTTGTGAAAAGCGCCTAATAGCAGCTAGATTACACGCTCAGTATCTCTGATAGTCTTGATTGTGCGGTTTGTGACTCCGTATGACTCACTGATATCTACAAACACGGACTGAAGCCAGGCTGCAGTATAGCTTCCATACTTTGCTAGCTATGCTAACGTACTGTGGTCCATGTTTATAGATAACAGTGAGTCATGCGGAGTCAGAAACCACATAATCAAGACGATCAGAGATTAATGAACAACTCTAGATGCCTTGGGGTGATGATGATTTAGGCCTGCAGTTAGTGTGATGCTAACTGGTAAACATTATCTTCCTTTTCCTGCTGATTAAACCAGCACAGACCAATATGCATTCCATGCTGGTCTATGCTGGTTTATACTGGTCTGGTGCTGGTTTAGGTGGTCACCTGGTATGGTCATGCTGGTTGACCAACCTGCCAGCATCCAAAAACAACATATGCTGGTTTTGCTGGTGACGAGCTGCTGGTACTGCTGGTTTTTCTAGCAGGGTTGGCTGTTAGCCACATTAAAGACTTTAGGCACTAAACATGTTGGTCTTGGTGGATCTAATACATTTGGGGTAATGGAGGGGGGGTGCCCCAAGAAGGGGGGGGGTGTCGTTAGGTGAACATATGGTGGTCCAGATGTTGCAGAGACATTAGCATCAGCACCTGCAGTTTCAGTTTGATGACCAATGACTGGAGCGTCAAAAATATCGACTAATCATGGAGCAGCTTACTGGATCTTCTACACTGTGAGCTACTCAGGGGGTCACTGTTCTCACGGAAGAGGCTGATCAGAGGGGACGTCCCTCACAGCACAGAGGACCAAGAGGAACGGATGAATGAATAACTTCACGTGGGGAGAGAGAGAGAGAGAGAGAGAGAGAGAGAGAGAGAAGAGGGAAGAGTGAGAGAATATAAGACATGCAGAGAATGAGAAAAGAGAAAGTTAGGGAAAGAGAGAAAGCGAGAGAAAGAGAGTAAGAAAATGAAGAGAGAGTCAGGGAAAGAGAGATAGAGTGAGAGAATGAAGAAATAGAGAGAAAAAGAGAGATCACTCAATAAAGCATGAACTACATTGAACTGAACTGAATTTGTGCATGCAGAGTTGCATGCGAAAGCATAAAATCTGAAAAAGGTATCAATAAAGCAGTGGTCATAATTGGCAGGTTGTGGGGAAAGATAGAGAGAGAGAGAGAGAGAGAGAGAGAGAGAGAAGAGAGGAGAGGAGAGATGGCTGAATGTTTTGCCAATAAAATAATCTGAACTAAATGGAATTGAAGGCGAATTCTACAATGCAAAAAATCACAGAGGAGTGAAAATACTGATAAAGTAATGATCCTGATAGGAAGGTTGAGCGAAGAGAGAGAGAGAGAGAGAGAGAGAGAGAGAGAGAGAGAGAGAGAGATTGGTGTTATGGCAATAAATTAAGTGAATGCGAGTTTCCAAATAATCTGCATGCAAAAACGAAAGATTGCAGAAGAGTGAAAATATTGATGAAAAAGTCATCCTGATAGGCAGGTTGTGTAGAGAGAGTGAGAGAGAGGGAGATAGAGAGAGAGAGAGAGAGAGATATGGATGTCATGTCAATAATTAAACTGAATTACACATTTCTAACAAATTACAAAAACAAAAGATGACAGAAGAGTGAAAACGCTGATGAAGGAGTGATCCTGATGGGGTGGTTGTGTAGAGAGAATGATAGAAAGAGAGAGAGCGTGCAATTGAGAGAGATGGAGAGAGAAATGGATGTCAAGCCAATAAACTGCATTGAGTGCAAGTTCCGCAGTAATCCGCATGTGAAAGCATCAGAAAGTGGTGCAGAGAGAGAGAGAAAGAGAATATGAGAGATAGAGATAGATAGAGAGAAAGAGAGAGAGAGAGAGAGATGTATGTTACAGCAGTAAATGAATTGAATGCGAGTTCCTCTGTAATCTGCACGCAGAGCTAAAACCAAAAGATTGCAGAAGAGTGAAAACAATGATGAAAAAGTGATCCTGATTGGCAGGTTGTGTAGATAGAGTGATGGAGAGAGAGAGGAGAAAGAAAGAGAGAGGAGAGAGAAAAAGGAGAGGAGAAAGAGAGAGAGACAGGTGCATGTCTTGCCAGTAATTGAACTGAATTTGAATGTCTCAATATTCTGCATGCAGAAGCAAAAGATGACAGAAGAGTGAAAACACTGGTAAAGGATTGATCCTGATGGGGTGGTTGTGTAGAGAGAGTGATGGAGAGAGAGAGGAGAAAGAAAGAGAGAGGAGAGAGAAAAAAGAGAGGAGAAAGAGAGAGAGACAGGTGCATGTCATGCCAGTAATTGAACTGAATTTGAATTTCTCAATATTCTGCATGCAGAAGCAAAAGATGACAGAAGAGAGAGAATATTGAAGAAAAAGTCGTCCTGATGGGCAGGCTGTGTGGAGAGAATGAGAGAGAGAGAGAAGAGAAAGGAAGAGAGTGATGAAGAGAAAGAAAAAGAGAGAGAGAGAGATGGAGAGATCTGTACCTGTTTGTTTCCCGGTGAAGGGGATTTGGTGTAGCTGGTGTCGTTGCTGTCAGAGCCTTGAGCCATACCAGAACAATCCTGCACTCAAACTTCTCCTCTATTCTCTCTCCCTCGCTCGCTCGCTCTCTCTGTGTGTCTCTCTCTCTCGATGAGTGCGAGAGTGTGCCTTTAGAGAGAAGTGTGTCGAGTCGACCACGGTTCACCGCTTAATGCGTAGCGCCTGTTCCTCCTTCTCTCTCTCTTTCTCTCTCTCTCTCTCACTCACTCTCTCTCACTCTCTCTCTCTCTCTCTCTGCCTAATTAGCAGCGTGTGATGTGGTCAGAGATAGAAAATCTAGACTGGAAGTCACATGACTCCTGGAAACTTTGCATAAAAAAAATAAAACTTTGGGGCGCTGGAGACGCCGAAACCCCAGAAATAGTCCACAAGAAGAAAAAAAAATAACACGACGAAAGGAGGAAAAGGCAAGACGCTCTTCTGAGTTTTTAACAAACAGCAATTTGTTGAAGGGGGTTTTACACTTTCACACCGTACGCCTCAAAGCCACACTGCAGCACAGGCGCCGTTACTCTCTGCTCGGCCTCAGAGGACTTAAAATAGCTTTTAAGAGAACTCAGAAGGGAAAGGGGACGTTTTTTTCACTTTTTTGACATGGTGGCAGCTTGTGGTCATTGACTTGAATGTAAAAGTTCATGAAAATTGTAATATATTAATATGTAGCTGCTGTCAATATGTTCCAAAATATAACTTTAACATATTGTGAGCTATTTACAGTGCACTGCTGCAAAAACAGTTTCAGGATGCTTCTTTCAATGGTTGAGAAATTAAGTTTATTGTCTTCTGAAGGGCCTGCCTATTTCAGCTGAGCTGAACAGAGTAGAGCTGAATAGAGTTGAGTAGAGTTAAGTAAAGTTGAGCTGAGCTGAGCTGAGTAGAGTTGAACTGAGTTGAGTTTATCTGAATTGAGTGGAGCTGAGTTGTTTAGAGTTAGGTACAGTAGAGCTGATTTGAGTATAGTTCAGCTGTTTATAGTAGAGCTTAATAGAGTTAAGCTGACCTAAGAGCTGAGTAGAGTTGAACAGTGTAGAGTATAGTTGAAAAGAGTTGGGCTGAGCTAAGCCGAGTAGAGTTGAGGAGTTGAGTTGATCTGATCTGAGTGGACTGGAGTAAAGTAGAGTTGAGTTGAGTTGAGTATAGCTGTGTAGAGTTGAACAGAGTTGAGCTGAGCTATACTAAGCTGATCTGAGTTGAGCTGAGTTGAGTCGATTTGATCTGAGTGTAGCTGAGTAGAGTTAAGTACAGTAGAGTTGTGCATAGTTGAGCTGAGCTAAGATAAACTAATCTGAGCTGAGCTTAGTAGAGTTGAGCTGTGTAAAGTGGTTGAATAGCTGGGCTAAGCTCAACTTAGTTGAGTATGATACAGTAGAGTTGAGCTGAGTCGAGCTGACATGAGTTAAGCAGAGTAGAGTAGAATATAATAGAGTTGAAGTGAGTAGAGTTGAGCTGAGTAGAGTACAATATAATAGAATTGAGCTGAGTAGAGTTGAGCTGAGTTAAGCAGAGTAGAGTAGAATATAATAGAGTAGAGTTGAGCTGAGTAGAGTAGAATGTAATAGAATTGAACTGAGTAGAGCTGAGCTGAGTTAAGCTGAGTAGAGTAGAATATAATATAGTTGAGTAGAGTTGAGCTGAGTAGAGTAGAATATAATAGAGTTGAGCTGAGTTAAGCTGAGTAGAGTAGAATATGATAGAGTTGAGCTGAGTAGAGTTGAGCTGAGTAAAGTAGAATATAAAAGAGTTGAACTGAGTAAAGTAGAATATAATATAGTTGAGCTGAGTAGAGTTGAGCTGAGTTAAGCTGAGTAGAGTAGAATATAAGAGTTAAGCCAAGTAGAGGAAAGTAAAGTGGAGTTGAGCTGAGTAGAGTTGAGCTGAGTTGAGCTGAGTAGAGTAGAATATAAGAGTTAAGCCAAGTAGAGGAAAGTAAAGTGGAGTTGAGCTGAGTAGAGTTGAGAATGTAATGCATTAAAAATGTAAAATTTGGTTGCTGCTTTAAGAAAATCTCATCCTTCTGAAACTGTCACTTTATTTAAAAAGGAAAATATATTTTTTTTAACTGACCTTCTAAATTTTAACTTTCAACATAATGTGATTTTAGATTATTTCTATTCATGCATGTGTCAAAAAAAATGTACACACAGCTGGCATTTTTTAAAAGTTTGCTTTGACAGCCACAGTTTTAAGGCGTAGTGTTTTTTTTTATCAGGTCAGCTCGACTTGACATTTGAATAAGAGTTTTTTGACTGTCAGTAAATTGGATCATTACATCCCACCGGACGGAGCAGCGAGCAGGAAGGCTGTGAGCTTCAGAGCGAAACGGTTCAGACGGTAATCCACACCAGTGTGAGAATAAGTGATGTGCTTCGGGGTTTTTGAACTCACCACCATCCTACATGACCATCCTACTAACTACAGGCAAAGCTCCTTCAGCTAAAGTTCATGTGCTTATGCAAAGATGTTATTTCCTCTCTGAGATGTTAGCATTCATAATGAAATAGTGAGCCGTGTTGGAGAAACTCAGATATTTTTCTTCCTGCTATTTGGTTGTGTGCATAATCAAATGCGAGTGTACGTATATTTACACACATATGTCAGCGAGTGAGAGATGTGGGTGATTTCCCCTGTCATGTGGAGCATAGCAGCAGCTGCACTCTGACATGCTTGAGTCTCTATCAGGTCAAAAATTCCACCTGACCTCACCCTGCGTTACTCTAAAGCTGCGCTCAGGCAGCAGCGTTATTTTTTTCTCTTCTCTGAACGCTGCAGCTCTCCCACCTCATGCAAACCAGCTTGCTTCCTGACAATGATGCGAATGATGCAAGCCATGCAAATTTGCAAATGATGCCAAATGCCCAGAAACCGAAGTCCTGATTTCCCTGAGCTGACGTTGCATCGTGCGCACACCCAGGCTAGTCTCACTTTTCCTCATGAACAATGAAGAGTGTGAAAAAAAAAAAAAACCTTCAGAAGAAAAACAAAAATGCCAGGAAGAAGACGCCGTTAATTATGAGAGCGAAGCAAAAACGAGACGCATTGTTCGGCCCAAAATTTACCCAAACTTCCCCATCTTATCCCAAATGTACATTTAGCGTACGAACTTTACTTCTGTAGTTTTAGCTCTGGCGCTACGAGGCTTGAGCACGCTTATGCGCACAAATTAGCATAAAGCTATGATCAAACTGTGGAATCTCTAATAGACGCTCTGACACTGTAATCTGTAGACACAGACATGTTTCAGGCTTCAGTCAGGCTGCTACTGTTTTTAGCTATACTAACATATTTTAGCCCATGTTTATAGATAACCGTGTGTCAGAAACCACATAATCAAATTAGCATAAACCAGATAGCGAGCATATATCGGTCCGCTGGCTTGATAAGGTCGACACCCCACTGACTGTTTGCCTTTGCTGGTCCCCCTCGGACCACCCAGATTACTGTCCTGCATACAAACTGTATCTAGGTTTTAATCTCCTCGAACAGATTTTAAATGCACACAGACTTTTATTTTAGAAAATAGACAAAATAAAAGACAAATATTACAAACAACTGAGAGAAAAAAATAAGGATTAGGCCTGATATAAAATGATTTTATAGAAAGTGTTGCTTTCAGTGTTGACACTGTGCTGGATTTACAGTACTCTGCTTAACCACCGGTGGGCTGCCCGGAAAACGCTGAGCAAAACGCCGGTGGACCACCAGCTTTGCCATCAGTGGTTCTAGTGCACTATGCTCTTGCTATCAGGGGATGCTATCATCAAACTCTGTGGAATCACTAACTCTGACACTGTCATGACTGTAATCTATAAACACAGACAAACGTAAGTACAGGTTTCAGGCTTCAGTCAGGCTGCTACTGTTTTTAGCTATGCTAACACATTTTAGCCTGTGTTTATAGATAACAGTGTGTCAGAAACCACATAATCATGCCTTTTAGAGACACTGAACTCCTCCAGATGAGATAAGAGTGCGATGATTTAGGCCTTCAGTTAGCACCATGCTAATTAGCTAATTCAAGTGAGCTTGTAGGATCTGCTGCATGTATGCTTTAAGCTACATTAGCCTCAGAGCTAACTTCAGACTCCAAACATGTCTTGGCTGAACGACTGCATCTGGAGTAGAGTTAGCATGACGCTAATTCATGTACATAAGCTTCCGTTAATAGTTAGCTACATTAGCATGGTAGTACATTAGCTCCGGTGCTAATTAGCTCCAGTGCTAATGTTTTCTTAAGCAGTTTCAACATCTAAGTACATTAAAAACACTTCGATTTTAAGGTTTTCCTTTGCAAAACCTTCAAAACTAAAGGAGCATCTTAAAGACTTCGGAAGGGATGAGTTCCGCAAAGCTAAACTGTAGAAGAACCACTTTTGTTTCTCTGAGGAACCTTTCAACAGATGGCTCTTCAAAGAATCATTTTTGTAAGCGGGATGAAGAAGAAGAACCTCCACAATGTTCTCAGAGGAACCCGTAAATGGGCATATTCTCTAAGCCTTTGAAGAGAGATGGCTCTTCTCTTTTTCGGGGAAGCAAAAGTGGTTCTTCTGTGGCATCACTTGAAGAACCATTTACTGGAACCTTTGATTTAAGAGTGAGCCTTGGGAATAGGGCCACAGGCCACGCCCACTTTATGCACCCTGCTGTGATGATGTCAGCGCTGAGTTCAAGGGCCCCTATCAGGGAAAACCCAATGTCTCTCCGTTTTTTAAATGAGACTGTGCTGTAGTATGGAAACAGCGTTAACGTTTAAAATGCACCACAAAAAAATGCACATATATATAAAATACCTGTTTCCCTTTATATTGTGTGTAAATTTCATGATGAATGGAGCAAAATAAATGGCCTAAAACTCACTTAGACAAAAGTCTGGTTCCATTCACTTAGGTTCTGAAAGCAGCGTATATATATATATATATATACATATATATATATATATATATATTTATATATAAACCTTTCATACTGTAAACTTACACTAACTTCACTTAAAAAAAATCATGTGACCTTATCACCTTGAAAAAATAAAGCTATTTAACAGATTAAAGCCTAAACAAATTTACATATCAGTTATAGTTACTTTCTAATGTTCAGTGATCCTCACTTCTGCAGCAAGTCGTTTACATGTTCTGCTTAATCTGTAATTAGTCAGATTAACGTAAATCACACACTCTTCTCTGTGTAATGTATCAGCATCAATTAAAACAACTCCACTA